AAGATCAAACGTTCTATACATTTTTTGGGCTCCTTATAGTAAGAACCATCAAGAGAAAAATGTTTCCAACTTTTGACTCACTTTGCATTGAATTTATGGGCTTTATGGATAGCTGATTGTCACCTGAAATGGACTGTAACTAAGGCAGTTTTTAGCATGGACTATGGGCTTGTCAACCTCTAGGCATTCCGAATCCACCGCCAAAGTCTGGAAAGAGCTTTGGAGCCTCGGTCATCGTCGTTGGTGGCGGCGTGGACGGCAAATTGCCCTGCTCCAGCGGAGCAAATGCCTTCAACAAGGATAGTCGCGACTGCGACATGCCATCCGACACAGCTAAGTAAGGCAAAAACATTAAAGAGCTAGCTAAGGAATCATAATTATTTTCCGCTGTACCTTGTCCAAGTATCTGCGATGGAGGCGCTCCTAAAGAAATCTCTCGTGGTTCTTCAACAGTTTTCCTGTAAATAATGTTATTCATCGAATCAGTTCAGAAGGATCAAGGCTATGTAGAAGCTTTCGTGATGAGCAAGATTGATGAACTTGAAGCAAATGAATGGGAGATTTTAAGAATTCTTAAAGCTGAGATACTTCCTACTTGGAAAGAGGATAAACATTCGGACCCTTTAAGTACTATTACAAGTGTATAGTTATCGGATACTTATAGCATTTATCATCACATAATTTAGTAAGAATTTTGGAAGAATCGCCACCGCCATTTTCGAAGCAGTAAACTGAGTCTGTGATTGAAGAGTTAACTTTTGCAAACCAAAAGTCAGGAGTTGGGCAAAAAAATGTTAATTATGTAGTTTTCATCAAGTTCAAGCGTTTTAGGTTTGATACTGAGAAATATGGCATAAACCCCAATTTCCTTTGGGAAGAGTGGCTAACACCATACTTCATCCTATTGCAAGAATAAAAGTACGCTTCCTTTCAATTTTTTGACTTTCTACCCTTACGCTGCTAATGATAATCAACTTTGTGACTGATTTTATCGGCAGATTCATAGGAGAAACAACAAATGAAATGCAACAGATATAAATTGCTCAACATTCGTCTAGAATTTAGGTCCCAACAAAGGGAGGTTTTTCTTTTTAAATAGCAGTATCTTCTTCTCGAATTTTTATCGGCTCAAATGACACTGAAAGCACAGTATACATTACTCAAATTGCAGTATGGTTTCTTGGACATCAAGCTTCCCTTACTCTTTCTCTCTCTTGGTTCAATAATTTGATTCTTTTTGGTTGAACTAGCTTTTCGCACTCTATACTCAACCAAATGTGCACCTTTCTTTTCGCGAAACTGGAAGCTATTATTAACTAGTTTGCAGTGGCGATATGCTAGGCAATATACCAATTTGCACAACATTCACGCTGACCTCAGTGAAATCTAATGATTTTCGCATTATACCTAGCTCCTTTATTAGATTTCCAACACGCTCAATTAGTGATGATCCAATTGTATAGCATATGTAGTTGGATGTTTCTATAGGTTCTAAAAAGGGACTCTTTTTCTATCGTGTGACGAAAAATCTGCAGTGTAACGATTATCAGAAAGATAGTCTGAGATTCCAAAGTTTAAAATTGGATTATGATGAGCGGGTT